GAAACCCATTATTTTTTTCCTTAAGGACTTATTTAAAAAGTTAAACAATCCTTACTGGTAATCATTCCTGACTTAACAAACTTTTAATTCATACATTTGTCGAAGAGCTACTGGATTCCTGTGTGCCAAATACAGTGCTGTGCCTGGGGGTACAGAAGGGTTCAGGGAAGAGATCCCTGCTGTCTAGACCTCTCTTCCTCTCTTTTTTCCAGAGCACCAGGCTCCTAAACATGGTAGGTGTCATAGCAGGCTCCAATCAAGACTCTGGAGGAAGGCTATGGCATGATGTGACAGGGGTGAGGGGTTCAGTTTTAGGTGGAGTGATCAGAGAAAGCTGATCTGTAGTTACCTCTGAGCAGAAACGTGAAAGGTGAGAAGGAGCCAGGCAGAGTGAAGGGAATACTTTCCAGATGGGTCAGGCCATGCAGTCCCAAGATACAAAATGACGGTGGTGTGGGCAGGAAACCAAAAGGGGAGCCAGTGAAGGGAGAGGAAGCGAGAAAGAATGACAAAGGAGGCAACAGGCTTGGCAGGCCTGAGGAAGCATCTGGCAATAAACTTGCTTTCCCACTTGTACATTATAAAGTACACCACTTAGTTTTCCTCAGACGTATTTGTTAAGACTTTTCTAGGTGCCAAGCACTGTATAAAATGTAAAGATGGAACAGTGAACAACTAATACTCAATAAGACTAAATAGCAAAGTCCCGTTGTGTTACTTGAGCCTTGAGGAAGTTCATGTTGAGATAAAGAGATCCACACTCAAGCCGAACTCTGAGTTTGCCCTGGACCCAACCCATATGTGAGAGCAGATGAGACAGATGGGTAAGAAACAGTTCAAATTCATGAGTCAAACCACCGCAGGTCAAGGCCCAGCTCTAGCTGTCTGACTTAATCTCTTTGAGCCTGAAGTTCTCCTTGTCCTGCCTCTCAGTAGACAAGAGTACAGCTGTGGTACAGCAAGTCCAGGGCCTCACAGAGCACGCTCAGAAGGTGTTGGCTAGATGGCGGCGGAGCACTCTAGCATCTTAAGTGGACAAGACATAGACATAGCTCTTTAATCATCTAAATCTACCAAGGCCTAGTGCTGGGGAAAAGAGAGTTAGGAGGAAGGCTTTTGGTGAATATCAAAATCTGAATTAAAGCACTATAGTTACCTTGGAAGCCATTATGAAACAAATGTACATGTACTTCATTTTATTTGTCCCCACATTCTATTTCCTTGTTCCCTCGTAGTTCACAAGCAGTTTAAACTTTAAAAAAACAGAATGTTTTACTTTACTTTTTGGCTGTTCCACATTAAAGAAAATATAATAACATCTGAGCATTTCAAAAGTAAGGAAGAAACTTCTCATTTCATCATGTTAAATGACTGTTAGACATTTTTGTGTCTCCTCCCACTTTTATTTGCACATACATCTCGTCATATTGGCAAAGAGAGTGTCCCATGGTCTTGCTTTCATCCCCCGCCCCCCGTACTATCTCTCTCTGTCACTCTTTCTGTGATCCAAGAAGTTTTTGGTATTGTGATATAGGTATGCTTTATTTTGTCTTTTGATGCTGGAATGAACCCCAGGGTTTCATGCATGCTAGGTAAGTGCTCTACCCCTGGGCTGCATGATACAGTTTTAACAAGTCTTATGACTGCATAGAGGTGACTTCTGCCACCATTTACTTAGGCTCTTTCCTTTTAGTAAATATTTTAGTTGCTTCCACTGTTACATTATTTTCTACTAAACTGTAAAGAATCACTTCATGAATACAGTGTTTTCTTTCTTTTGAATTATTTCTTTAGGATAAGTTCCCAGACGTGGAATTTCTGGTTCAAAGGGTATGAATGCTTTTTTTGTGCCTGTCTACACATTGCCACATTACTTTCCAATAGGTTGTGCCATGTTACACTGCTTCAGCTCTTTTTAAAATGACTTATACTTGCACAGCCATTTCCACATCTTGATGCGCTTCTAATCTGGGTGACTATTGCCTAAACTGAGCAGCTTGCAAATACAACAGGGAAGCGGGAAGATGAGGACTGAACTTTTGTCCCAGCACCCGCCCCAGGGGTCAGAGCACTTCCAGGGTATTTTATGCACATTTGTGGTGGTTCCCCATGGTGCCCCCACTTCCAGAGCACCAGCCTGGGCTGGGGCAATTCATGTACTCACCTGAACTCCAGCTTGAGCCCAGGTCTGCCTGACTGCAGAGCGCCCTCCTGCCCTGCTCATTGGACTGATCCCCTGAGACACTTGCCTGGCCGGAGTTTGCTTTCAAGGAAACTGGAGACATCTCTTCTTTTACATCTGAACTTGTCCAGCTGTCCCCCAATCCTTCCAAAAGTTAATCTCATCTTCCAGCCAGTCTTCCTGGTAGTCTATGAAAGAATAGTAAGTTTTTATTTCTTTTTAGTAATATTTTTAAATTTGCCTCTTTATTTAGCAAAGCAAACTAATAGATAAAATGTGGATCCCAAACCTTAAAGATTAGAAGTCCCTGTTCCACCCAGTGAGTGTGGTTGAAAGAACACAGAACCAGAAAGAAATTATTGAGTGACATGGGGCAGGCAGCCTGACATCCCCAAATTTTGGTTTCTCTCTGTAGAAGGCAACCACACAGGGTCATTAAAAGTCCAGAGTAAGGTAATACCATATAAACCCACACAGTCCCTGACAATCCACAGGCATTCCGAGGCCCCTCATCCTCTGCTTTCAGTATCCTTTTTTGAACTTCAGAAGTTCTGAGACTGGTCACCATGCCCACCAGACCCTTATAGAGTTCAGTGGGGATCCTTGTAGAGTTCAAGGTCACCCACGAGGAGCACCTTGCTCTGTAGGACTCTGCTTCTTCTGTTCATGGCCATGGGCTTCTTGTGTATTCTGCCTTCTCTTGGGAGTTGAGGCAGGAATGAGGAAAAATATTGTGATTTTTATTTTATGTGTGTTATACTCTTTTGTATGCTTATATGTATATTTGTAGATAGATAGACAGACAGATCAGACAGACAGACATATAGTTCTAGTTTCTCATTTCCTGGCTGGGATCCTGCTTGGGTTCTGCCTTCCGAGCCCTGAGAGGAGTGGGATTTGACATAGAAATGAAGCATCATCTTGACTCTCACCTACTGAAGATGGGCCTTTTTATTTTTATACTCCTCAACTCCTAACACCATGACTCCTAATTTCAGAACTCAAACTGCCAGATATTTCCAGTGACCACCCATATCTCGGGCCCTCTGTACTTGGCTGGTACAGGGGTTGTCATTTCTTGATATCCTGGGCTAAGTGACACAAGCTTCTGACATTGCTGAGTCCCGGTCCCTTTGCAACTGCTTGAACCAATGTCATTCTGTCCTCTCAACTCCCTGCCATCCTGCTTGAAGTCTTAAACTTATAGTAAGGCACTCACAGTAGGTGCTTACTAGGTACTCTTTTAATTTTTTTAATGAAACTGTCTTCTAATGGTTGCAGATGTCTTTATGAAGATTATACTTCTAAAAAGTGTTAAACCACTCAGAACATACTAATGCCACCACCATCACAATCTGAAAGCTTATCTTTCTCTAGTGCCTTATAGTTTACAGAAACAACTGCTTACTTCAGAACAGGCCCTGTCAGTAGGAGCGCTCTTTGTTTTCTCATCAGGGGACCAGTCCAAGTCTCTCAGCAGTTTGAGGTCAAGACAGGTAGTTCATCAGTGTCCTTGACTGGTTCAACAGGAAGCAGTGTGAACCTATCTCTTTGCAGGCAGGAATTTGTCCCTCCTAGGTGGGGAGACATCTTGCTGTAGGAAGGGAAGCTTCGCTTCACATAGTCTAGAATAACTGTTAATTACCACTGGAGCAATAAACAAGAAGGCCCAGAGGTCCATAGGAATTCATCTTTATGTTGCTCACCAGTAGTTTGTCCCCATCACCTCCTCTACCCACCATGGTACCTGTTAAGTGCCTGGGTTGAGGCCCTTTTATGGAGCCTGTGCCGACTGCTTCTCCTCCAGCATTATCTCAGAACCTCCTGGTGGCCCTGAATTAGCTGAATTAGTGTTATGTGCATTTCACAGATGAGGAAAATGAAGTTCACAGAAGCCAGCAGAGCTGGAATTCAGTGTAGACCTATCTTTCTGACTGTGTCGCTCAGTGAGGCCCCTCCATTCTGCATCAGAGAGCAGACGAGAATGTTCTCAGATGTGGACTGCCCCTCTGCTATCTGGCTCTGGTTGATGGCAAGTTTTTCCATGGCTAAAGTTCACTTCCTGTGCAAACTTGACCGACTGGCTTCTGGGAACTCTGCCTTTTTCCTGCTTTCTGGAAATGTCTGATGGCCACACTGGACTCTGACACACACCTCTTCTATGGCCCAAGAATCCTTATGCTGGTGGAGCTGCCTCTGCCACAGAGAACGGGCTGGAAAAGCTTGAGGGACTTTCAAGGGTATCACACATACTTGCCAGGTACCTGGCCTCTTGCTATCACTATGCACTCCCAGTCATAAGGCTGACGACTGAGATGTGGAGGGACTTGCCAGGCAGGGGCGGGACAAGGTTCATTTGGCTCTGTCACCAGCCCTGAAGCCAACACATGTCTTATCCCTTGTCTCCCTACTGAAGCACTTGGTTTGGTTTTCAGTAGCCCCTCTGGTTCAGTTGGAAGAGGCCTGGTTCTAACCCTCCCTGGAAGCAGGCCTTGGGCAAGTGACTTCCCTTCCCTTGGTCTGATTGCTGTGCAGGAATGTGTGGGGAGGATCAGGAGAGCTGGGAAACAGATCCTATGGGGACAGGTGAGGTAAAGATACTCCAAGCTGATCCATGAATAATGAAAGCAGTTTGCTGCCCTGTGAACCTGGGCCTTGCTGTGAGTATACAGAACCACAGTGCTAGAAAAGTGGGCTTTGTTTTATTTCCTTCTTTTCATTCTTTTTAATCAAATCACTGTGCAGTGTTTTGATGTGGCTGCCTCACTGAAACATTGCTGCCATTTCACATCTCTCTACTCTCTGCACTGTTGTCCAGGCCATCCGTGTGTTCTTCATGCTACGTTCCCTGTCACTGCAGCTGCAAGGGGAGCCCGAGACCCAGCTGCCATTGACTCGGGAGGAAGACCTGATCAAAACCGATGACGTCCTAGACCTGAGTGAGTTGGCCAAACTGAGTCATACCAAGGGGCCAGGGGACACAGGACACACCAATGGGAGGGCATGTGCATGACCTGCATTTTGTACTGCCATTGCCGTGTGACTATGCACAGTGTTCACATCCTATGAAAGTTCTGAAGGAAAGAGCCTCAGGTGTGGGCACCTTGAAACTGGCCTGTGGAATCTGCCTTCTGGGACCAGAAGCTTTGCGGGAACATGTGTGCAGAATGATCAGAAGCTGTGCAGGAATGAGCACAACTTCAGGGCCCTGCCTTCCATGTGGCCACAGCAGTGTTGCTTTGATAGTATTGTTTGTTAAGAGTTTTCTATATGATTCCAGCTATAAAGGGATTTTTCTGTAATGAAAGGAAGCTTGCAAAAAGCAAATCACTAATGTATAGGTAAGGTGAAGTCTTTGGCAGCCAGGGAGTCACGTGCTTCTTCTATAACCTTGGTCTGTTTATTCACTGGGCAGTTCCTCAGTGTGCTCATTGGCAATATGAGGCGAGTATTAAAGGAGACAGTGAGTGAGATGGGGTTTAGGTCACTAGTGGAGCACTTGCCTAGCATACATGAAGCCCAGAGTTCCAATCCTTAGCACTGCAACAAAAAAGGAGATAATACTTACAAAGCCTCATGTTCCCAGAACTTTTCTCATATTTTTACAGCTTCCTCTTTCCTGCATTTGCCCTGGGTATGTGCACTCTGAAGGACAGCATGGTTTTCTAATTCTAAAAAGCACTGTGGTAAATTAGGAGTCTTCGGTTCTAAGAGACAGAAACCCAAATCCAGTCTGGCATATGGAAAAAAGGGGAACCAGCTGATGTCACTGGAAAGTCTAGGAGTGATTCTGTCTTCAGACGTGACTGGATCTGGGTACCCAAACAGTATCATCAGGAAGTTACCCTTCTCCATTTCTGAGCTGCTTTTCCCTCTAGTCCAGTTTCATCTTCAGGAGGGCTGGCACCAAGCAGTGGGAAGATGGCACAGACAGCCCCAGAATTTACCAGACCAGCTAAGCAGCCATGATGGAAGAGGACTATTCTTTCTATATAAGTTATGTAGAGGTCTGGATTAGAGCCCTCCTTAGCTTGACTTAGATTATAGGACAATCCTGAACCTAGCAGTGGTCAGAGGAATAGGAGGCACTGGCTGGCTCAGCTGGGGTCACATAGCCAGCCCTGGGGTTGAGCTATAAGGTCAGTTCTTTCTGAACTCTTTATCAGCTGAGAGTAAGAAAGGAGGGGCCTTTGAAAGGTAATCTCAGAGAAGAGGTGGAGGCCAGCCAGGCAGAAACAGCAGATGGCCACTGTCTGTTGTCATTGTTTCATTCTTTTGAGATATAATTTATACACAGTAAAATTCTCCAAGCTTTCGTGTATATTTCAGCTCATCTTGGCAAAACTGTTTAGCTGTATAACTAGCAGCAATCTTGACATGGACCATTGAGTATGGGTTTTCCAGCCTTCCCTGCCCTGCTCTGTACTTTCTTGAGCAGATGATTAAAACTTCCCAGCACCATTTCCTCATCTGTAAAATGGAAATGGTCTTTCTTCTGTTACCAGATTGTTTTGAGGAGTAAATGAAATATAATGTGACCAAACACAGTACCTACTAGGTAACCACTCAGCAATCTGTAGTCTATGTGGCCTGTGTATTCAGTGGGAGAACGCTTATAAGGAACATAGCCTGCTGCCTAACACAAATAGCTCTCCGTCTGTGAGAATGCTGCGTAGACTTGCGTGTCCAGTTTCTTTCGGTCTTCATGGTGCTTGTGCTCGTTTATGTTTCCCTTTCTTGGAAGAACAAAGAAGCTACGACCCCACTATGCTCTGTGTCCATCTCCTGTGGCCCTCTCACACTTGAGAAATGGCCTCAGGAATAATTGATTGAGTTGGCTGGAGAGAATCATAAACCAGTCTTTCTCTGATTTGATCCAAGCAGAGAAAGGGAAATAGCTTGCTTTAAAAGGCACCTCCCCAGCAGGGCAATGAGAATGTTTGCATTCATGAAATGAAGTTAAATTTTATGCTGGGAATTCACATCCCACCCCCAAGGATGGCCTGCTGAAATAAAGGTTAAAAGTGTTTCACTTATCAATTTTAATTGATTACATTGCTAGTTGAGATCACTTAACCGAGCCTTTTTGGGGAGTTGGCCATTAAGAAAGTAATGGCTGTCTTTACCCAGTATGATTGTGAATTATGTCTTTTGCTAAAGAGAGTGGCGTTCTGAAATTAGTTGGGATTATGGATTTGAAAAGCACATGGTACTAAAATAAGATGACTGTGGTGTTGGTTGGCTTCTTTTTCTGTTGTTTGTTTTAATTTTCAGTGACTGTAAATAAATAGACTTTCTCACTTACCATTAGAAGGATAAAAATCACTGTACTTTGCATTGTACAAAATGCCTTCCATGTATACAAATCATAGGTGAAGGCTGAATGACTGGAAGCTGGGCGTGTTTCTGTCTACCTGACAAATTAGAGGAAGCTGACTCAGGGAGCAATACTTGGGATTGGTCAACTGTTATCTCCCTGATAAGCTTAAAGAAGAGCAGGCTGTACACAGCAGGAAGCGGTGACACAAAGTGTTTGATTGACCTCACACTTCGATAAGAAACCACACATGAAGAACCCTCTTAAGCATCTCAAGTGTTCCGCTGGCCAGCAGCAGATCTCTGGGCTCCCTGTGGCAGGTGAACACTGGCACAAAATGTTCTTCTACCCAGGAGCATCAGAGATGTGGTCACCACTCAGGAAAGAAGCACCCTGGCTGTGCTTACAGCTGTCTTGGTTGTCACTGTAAAGGGCAGTTACACAAGGCAGAGGTCACAAGCTGTTACCAAGTGGGCTGTGTGCCTGCTGAAGGAAAGAGGCAGAGAGGGGAGGAAGGAGAAAAGAAGGAAAGAAGGGCAAAAAGAAGGAGATTAGATAAGAGGGATGAGGGTTTTAGAGAGAATAGCATCATGAATTTCTTTACACCTAATATTGCTTTATAAATGTCATTATTGTTTTGCTAAGTTGTATTTCATCTGTCCACCATCTTTCTTTTTAAAACATCACCTACTGGCTAAGTATATTAAAGTAAATGAGACATCATATTATTACATCTATAAATACTGTTCTAACAGATAAGGACTTTGTACTACCCTTCTTAATTGAATTGTTTGCCACCATTTGTAAATCTGGAGTTGGGGGACAGGGACAGCCACTGTGGTAGAGGGAGCTGTGCTGTCCTTTATGCTGCCAACCCAGCTCTGTTGATATGTGATTCAGCTGCCTCTGGTGTGAATGGAAGGAATAAATTTTGTGACCTTTCCAGGGTTTTTCATGTTTATGGGCCTTAGTGGCTTTCCTTTGTATAGCTCCAGAAGACCTCCCAAGGAGAGCTATGGGGAAGACATAATAAGATCATGTGTGTCATGCACACAGCACCATGCACAGCATATAGCAGATGCTCAGTAAAAACTGGGCATGGTCCCTGCTGTACCTGCTGAGTGGGAAAGGTGTCTCCCTTGGGCTCCAAAGGGCAGCATTTTTTCTTAACAGTGTTCTCAGGAGTGACTATTTTGAACTATTCTGACCAGTTCATCACTCATATGCTAGCTCTGGTATGGAAGTAGGAAAGAATGCTTTGGCTGGAGGCTGGACCCCACCTAGGTCATGGGACTCCTTCTCTGTAGCCTGTGCCCAGAGCTGACCAAGAGTGCTGCAAAGACACATGGGCTTTGAGGAGAAACCACAGGTTCCTGCCTGGGCTTGGCATTGGGCCTTCTGAAACATCTCTGTTTGTCCCCAAATAACATGGGCTGTCATAGTCCTAGAGAAATTCATTCATCATTTAAGACTCTAGAGATACCAAGCAACTGGGCCTATTGAATTTTCAGTTTCCTTCCAGCAGCATTTTGTAGCCATAGCTTATATTGTATGCATTGAATCTTATATTCTGACTTTAAAAATCCATTCCTGAAACCCATTTAATGAAAAATCTGTTTAATGAAAATCCATTCATTTGTTCAGCTATTAATTAAGCACCCATTATATGCTAAGAATAGCACCAGGAGCTGGGATGTGATCATAAGCAAAAGCCAGACTTGGCCTCTGGTCTTGAAGTACTTCCATGGGGGATGAGAGGATGGTGACGGGTGCTTATAGGTTACTAAGTAAATGCACAATTTCAGACTGAGCAAGGTGTGTCTATGAAGGGAACGGACAGGGTTCCTGATGGAGAACTACTGGAAGAGCTCAAGGGCTGCTGAAGAAAGGCCTCTCTGAAGATGTGCTATGCTGGGAGGATCAGAAGTTTCTATGAGAAAATGTAGAAATAAGGACAGGCAAGATGGGAAAGAACTTGGTATGCTTCAGGACCTTAAATCTCACCTGCAGACTTTCCCACAGAGATACCTGTCCTGAATGTACAAGAGGTGATCAAAACATACAGTGAATGTTTAAAGTTTTTTTAGAATTTACTACAGTAAATGCACATTGCCATTAATCCCCTTCATAATATTCCCTCTCACTTTAAACTCACCCTGTAGTTCTTGCCACTCACTATTGAAGCAGTGCTTTTTTGGGAGTGTCAAAAATATAGTGACCGCTGCAGCTAAGTACCATCCAAAAGGAAGGCCACCTTGTGAAAACAGCGTGTCCCCATCCACCTTATTCACCAGATCATGCAACTTCTGTTTCTTCCCAAACGTCAAAATGACTATGAAGGTAAACATTTTGAATCATTTCAGAACAGTGAGTCAGCTGTGACAGTACAACTAATGACACTTAGAAAAAGGACTTCCAGAAATGGTTCTGAAAGTGACAAGAACAGTGGCATAAGTTTCTTCAAAGCAAGAGGGAGTATTTTGAGGGAGATTAAAGACACTGTGTCTTTTACCATAATAAATCTGTTTTTAACTTTAGCTGTTTACCCTATTTTTCAGTCATACTTCATTACTTCTAGAAGTAGCACTGCCAGGTCAGAGAGCAAAATCAGGCCTCTCCACC